AGAGATCGTAAGTTCATCAGCCAATCATTGACGGCCTTTCAAGCAAAATCCACCAATCATAGACAAGAAAATAAAGCGTAAGTACTTACGTTCACTATACTTTCAAAAAAAGTTAAGAGATCGTAAGTTCATCAGCCAATCATTGACGGCCTTTCAAGCAAAATCCACCAATCATAGACAAGAAAATAGAGCGTAAGTACTTGCGTTCACTTAGTGAATTAAAAAGTATGGCCCATCTGCTTTATATATAGCACGAGTATACATATAGTGATGTAGGATGAGACTACTGCTCGTGTTTGGAATACTTGCAGCTCTTATAAGTATATCAATATTATTAGAAGTATGAGTAATATTATAGTAAAAGAAATATTAATACTTCCGTATGAGCATTTATTTCCATGATGTTCTATGAAGTTCTTTGTTCCTACAATACGTGCGCTGCGTTAGCGAGAACACTTTCCTTCGTCAAAATTAGTGGATGCGTTCTTACGCTTTGATTTTTAATGGTTTACATAAAAAATATTAAAAATATGCAAGCACGTTATTCTTATTCAATGTATTTTATTTTGAATCGTAGTGACTCAAGTTCAATTGCTGCGAGTCAAGTTCAAAATTCAACGCTGCGTTGACATTGAAGTTTGTTTACGCCAGTCAGGACCGGTTCCTGACACGCCTTGGTTATGCGAACCGGTGTGGTTTCCGGCAAATATTTTGTCAACTTTTTTTTGCGACAGAGAAGGTATGAATTTGTGCGTACAGACCTACGTTATTTGTCCTGTACATCACAAAATATTCCTAGTATCCACTATCGGCATCACTAATCATGCGTAATAACCATCGTAATTATCACCGCGCCCCATCGTAACTTACCCATCATTATCACATGTTTTGCATGCGCTGCGTTGCCAAATGTACGTCGTGGGCTGCGACATGCCAAATGTACGTCGTGGGCTGCGACGTTGCCAAATGTACGTCGTGGGCTGCGACGTTGCCAAATGTACGTCGTGGGCTGCGACGTTGCCAAGTGCACGGCGTGGACAGGGTGGCCGCCGCTGGCCGTGAGAAGGTCGTTCCTCCCGTCCTCCGAATATCCATTGCAATTCAGCCGCATGTCCGCTAGCCACGCAATGCAGGGCCTCTGGCTATGAATTCTGATTACAAATCCATGTTATAATGTCCGTATTTTGATTTGTTTACTAATCTATGTACATTGAAACCTGCCTCTCATTTATTTGTGTGATGCAAGCCTAGCGCCGCAGTATATAGGGGCTGCTAGGGCGCGTATCCAGGATACTTATGGCGCCGCAATATATAGGAGCTGTTGGGGCGCGTATCCAGGATACTTATGGCGCCGCAATATATAGGGGCTGTTGGGGCGCGTATCCAGGATACTTATTGCACCGGTATATTGTCTAGACATGGGAAATTATTCATATGTGAGGGAATAGTGATGCATTGCAAAACATGGTTCCTTCAAAATTTCATAAAGTGTACAAGTGTTGTTCGTACTGTGGTACATTTTATTCCAGTAGTAATAAAATGTATAATATATGTTTATGTTAATTTGAGATGTTGTCACGTCTCCTACATGCCATAGAGGTTTTGTGATTTCATTAAGGCTGATTTAGACGTTTTGTATGCAAAACGCGTGCTCTCCTGTTGAAAGCGTTCTTTTATTTAGAAAACCACGAATTCATGAACATTTTATGAATTGCTTCATTTCAAGAATTTACATAAAAGGAGCAATAAATATTAAAACATAAAACATTGAAGTTCATTTATCTACTGACTCTTACAAATTAGTTGAATAATTGAGTTGACTAGCATCTTGCAATTTGCTGTGTGTAGAGTAACTATAAGAGATTAACTTCGTTCTGTCAAACTGTTTTCCATTGACCTTGACGTTCGAGTTCAAACATTATCATAGTTCACATATTCGTCTTCCTCAGCCGCAGTGGCAAGTTACTGTATCTATCCTAATATAGTTAGGTTGTCAACACGACTGCAATATTGGCATAGGCAAAATTTGTCGCATCCGTATGCAAAAATTTATAGTGAAATTGGTGTTCTTTTTTGAGCGAGCTGTACATTAGTTATAGGTGTGATAGGTGGGGTGGGGTGTGATAGGTGGGGTGTGATGGGTGGGGTGTGATAAGTGGGGTGTATTTCAACCTTCAATAGTGCCATTTATTCTAATACGTGTTATTTTTACCAAGGTTTGAAATGATTATCACTTTATTCCCAGCGTCCGAACCCGATGATTTAGGAGGAACTAATCATTTTTTTTTATCTTTCCAGGAAGCCCTTCATCACTGGCAGCGCTCGTACATCATTCACCATACACCGCACGATGAATGTCGTGAACTTCAGTGAATTGTGATTTAAAAAATAACTTTTCAGCTTAAAAGATTTTTGATGACGGAAATTCAGTCAAGCGATGAAAAAGTTTCAGAAAATATTCCTGCAAAATCATCTATCGAAAAAATAGTTCGATGAAATTTTTTTGATAATTTTATACATCAGTGAATCTCAAGAAATATTTTCAGAAACAAAGACAAAAAGCGAAAAAAAAAAATTCCTAGCCGTCGAGGCATCAAAGTTCCCCAAAAGGGACCCCAAAATCCCCCAAAGTGCCTCCGTCCCTCACGACGGGGCACCAGGCGTCCCCTCACGCCCGGTGTTCCCAAAACTTCCCCCTTTTTCACCAAAGTTTTCCCCACTTTCCCCAACTCCAGAAAAATTTTCTCCGCAGTTCATCCTCCTCTCCCCAGCTTCTAGCCGTGCGTCACTCCCCATCTTCCCCACAAATCATGCGTCATAATTCCTCCCCTGGACGCCCCATGCTCCCCAAGTCCTCCCCAATGAACCCAATACTCCTCAACTCCTCCTCCACCTCCCCAAGAGGATTAGTGCAGCAGGGGTTGCCAATAGCAGCATATTTGCACACCCCCACACCCCCGTAACAGCAGTTTACAGCGGTAAATAACAGCAGTTTACAGCGGTAAATAACAGCAGTTTACAGCGGTAAATAACAGCAGTTTACAGCGGTAAATAACAGCAATTTACAGCGGTAAATATAAATTTAACATACTTAATTGCTGTGAACAACTAACAGAATGGTAAATGCAGTCGCAGTCCCGGTGGTTGAATCAACTACCTATTACGACGTTGAGATCGAGGTGAAGAGAGGTTTAGAATGAAAATTGAAGCAACGTCTTTCATGAAATGTCGTACTGACGTTACAATGCAAAGTTGAATCAATGTTGCTACTACGACGTTGCTGCAATGTTGAATTCTCTGGCTGAATCGACGTTGAAACAACTACCTATTACGACGTTGAGATCGGGGTGAAAAGAGGTTTAGAATGAAAATTGAAGCAACGTCTTTCATGAAATGTCGTACTGACGTTACAATGCAACCTTGAATCAATGTTGCTACTACGACGTTGCTGCAACGTTGAATTCTCTGGATGAATCAACGTTGAAGAACCGACCATTTTTTCGTCCGTGGCAGGATTCGAACCCGGGATCGCTGAAGACCGCCGCGACGCCTTAGCAACCTTGACCACGGCAGCTCGCGTGCATGAGCAATAAAAATAAGCTAAAAATTGTGCAACTTCTTGAAAATTGAAATGCCATATTTCGTCATTAATCGTACACTTATATATATGTACATTATTCGGTGTTGGTGTGATAACATTAGTTCCATGCTGGTAAATAAATAGCTAAACGTTCAACGTACCGATATCGACTATTTTCCAACGTTGAAATGAGATTGTTTTACGTCACTTCTAGTTTTGGTCAGATTTCGAAGTTGATCGGACGTTTAATTTTGGTTGTTCAGCATTTTTTCCTGAAATCAACACTAATTGAACGTTTAAAAATAAAATAACATTCAACGTACCAATATCGACGTTGTTTCAACGTTCAAATAAGGTTGTTTTACGTCCGTTTTAGTTTTGGTCAGATTTTGACGTAGATTGGACGTTTAATTTTGGCTGTTCAGCATTTCAACCTAAAATTGACATTGATTCAACGTTTAAAAATTATTAAAAATTCAACGTTCCAATATCGACGTTATTTCAACGTTGAAATATGGTTGTTTTACGTCCCTTTTAGTGTTGGTCAGATTTCAACGTCGATATGACGTTTAATTTTGGTTGATCAATATTTAAACCTGAAATCAACCAATATTGAACGTTGTTTCGACGTCAGATGCCTGCTGGAGTTAACCTAGTCCACAAATGCTAAAAAGCAAGCCCCTGAGTAGGTGAATGTAATCGCAATTTTTCACATGTACGCTTCACGTAATCTTTCTGCTTAGACCTTCAGTCATCCAACCGATGTTTACCTGGAGATAAATTGTCATTCGTAGTTCAAACTTCCTTTAGTGGCGAAGTACTTCGGTGAGTTTAGTGCTGCAATTTATTAATTTTTCATTATTGATTCTGATATGATATTTTTTGGTTAACTTGGATCTAATTTTGCTTATATTTGTTTATCTTGTGTATTAGATAGCTAATATTTATGATGTCATACTTGCAGAAACTATGCTTTCAAGATTACCAAAATAAAACTCCTTGAAACCTGTGTCGAAATTTCGCCTAAGCCACTAGGGCTTAACAGTGAATTTAGACACATTACTACGGTAGATTTATAGTTCGCTGCGGCAGTTGTAGACTTGATTTACTGCGGTAGATATAGACCCAGTTTACCACGGTAAATATAGGCCTATTTTATCGAAGTAGACGTAGGCCCAGTTTACCGCGGTAGATGTAGACCCAGTTTACCGCGGTAGACGTAGACCCAGTTTACCGCGGTAGACGTAGACCCAGTTTACCGCGGTAGACGTAGGCCCAGTTTACCGCGGTAGACGTAGGCCCAGTTCACCGCGGTAGACGTAGACCCAGTTTACCGCGGTAGACGTAGACCTAGTTTATCGCGGTAGACGTAGACCCAGTTTACCGCGGTAGACGTAGAACCAATTTACCCCCCCCCCAGGTACGGGCCGTGTCCCTCAAGACGAGCGCGTCAGGGGCCATCATCGCTGCTGGGCCCACGCTGGTCATCCCGGACTGCTACACCGGTGAGTTACCGGGGTTACCGTGGGTTACCTTGAGTACCGTTGGTTACCGGGGTTACCTAGAGTGCCGTTGGTTAGCGGGGTTACCTTGAGAACCGTTGGTTAGCGGGGTTACCTTGAGAACCGTGGGTTACCGGTGTTACCGTGAGTACCGTTGGTTACCGGGGTTACCTTGAGTACCCAGGGTTACCGGGGTTACCTTGAGTACCGTACTGTCACCGGGGTTACCTAGAGTACCGTGGGTTACCGTTGGTTACCGGGGTTACTGTGAGTTTCCGGGGGTAATCATGGTTTGCCGTTTGTTTGCTGCTACATGTTCTTTAGTACCTCATGTTACCGTGATGTTTTTCGTGAAATGTTGTGATGTATCAATCGTCTCTGCCATGTCTGGCGTGTCGTGTCTGCCGTGTCGTGTCTGCCGTGTCGTGTCTGCTGTGTCGTGTCTGCTGTGTCATGTCTGCTGTGTCGTGTCTGCCGTGTCGTGTCTGCCGTGTCGTGTCTGCCATGTCGTGTCTGCCATGTCGTGTCTGCCATGTCGTGTCTGCCGTGTCGTGTCTGCCGTGTCTGCCATGTCGTGTCTGCCGTGTCGTGTCTGCCCTGTCTGCCGTGTCGTGTCTGCCGTGTCTGTGCCGTGTCGTGTCTGCCATGTCTGACGTGTCGTGTCTGTCGTGTCTGCCATGTCGTGTCTGCCGTGTCGTGTCTGCCCTGTCTGCCGTGTCGTGTCTGCCATGTCGTGTCTGCCGTGTCATGTCTGCCGTGTCATGTCTATCGTGTCTGCCATGTCTCAACCACCTCTCACGACAGGTTGGTTCAGCGTCGTGTCAGGACGATGTCGTGGGGCGACGTGCTACACGAGCGTCGCTGACGTGGCTGACAGCAACGTCAGCTTCTTCCTGACGAGGCATGACGTCGCCGGCTACGTCAGGCTGCCTGACAACTCCCGTCAGTATACACATATACTCTATATAAATATTAATTTATTAGTATATAAATTATATTATTATTTATATTATAATATAATTCATATTATAATATAAATCGATGTAATATACAGTATATATTACATCGATATATACTGTAATATATAATATTACAGCATATATCGATCTACAGTACCTATTTTATATTGCAGTATATATCAATAGTTATAATTATAGTCTATGTGATGAACAGACATTCTGGTCCCAGCAGACGCAGTAAGTCCTCTTGTCCCAGCAAGTTCTGTATAGTCCCTCTTTAGATGCAAGAAACAATATAATATAATAATATTTATAATATAATATAATAAGTAATATAATAAGTAATAAAGAGGGAAGTCCCTCTTTATTACAACACTTCTCTTTAACTTCACTTCTTGTTGTTTGCTGCTACATATCTTATAATAAATATTTAACACACTTCTACCTCTCAAATCGATCTGAAATTTTACACACTTGCATAAAGTTGGAGACAATGCATGAATCAATTGGCAGAATAAATAATTTTTAAAATTTAATTTATTTTAATTATTAAAAAATTTTAAAAATTAATTTTCTTAATTTTTAGAATAAAATTAGAAATTCATTATGCATGTGTAACATCGGAGCCACTGGATTTTTTAGAAGTGTGTTCTTTAAAAAGTAATTTGTAAACGCATATTATTTCCCATCAAGTCCCCTTCGTCCCAGCAGAAGTAGCAAGTCCTCTTGTCCCAGTAGACGCAGCAAGTCCTCTTGTCCCAGCAGGTTCTATTATAATGTAAGGTTTTAATGTCCCGGCAAGTCCCATTTTTCCCATCAAGTCCATTTTGTCCCGCAGGGTCTGGCAACCCTCGCTACAAGCGCAGCGTTGTCCCAGCGGGTCACGTCCTCAAGCTCCTGGGACTTTTTGAGGACACCAAGAGGACGGGCGAAGACGGGACGCAGGCGTCGGGGGACAGATTCGCCCAGTGCCTCGACCACCGGGGACAGGTGGACGAAATTGTGGACTTTATTGTGGACTTTATCGTTGACTTTTTTTGCGGACTTTTTTGCGGACTTATTTCTAGACCTAATTGTGGATAAAATATGGAGGCAATTGTGGTGTAAAATTTGATGTTAACGGTAGGCTTAATTGTGGAATAAATTGTACACTCAATTGTGGACTGAGTTAATTGTGGGCTTGATTGTGGACTGTGTTTGTGAAAATGTTCATGGATTTGTTTGAACGCTTAATCATGATGCTGGCTATGGAATTAATTTTAAATTAATTGAGGGGTTAAAAGAGGCTCAATCATTTTTGATGTGATTTGTAGCCCATTTTTAGACTTTATATGGACTAACAAAACGTTTCATTTTATCCTATCATTTCAGTGATAAGATAAAATTGTATTATATGTATTATTTGAATTATTTGCATTATTTGTATCCTTTGTATTATTTGTATCGTTTATATTATTGTATTTTTTTTATTATTTCTATTATTTCTATCATTTGTATTATATTTATTATTTGTATTATTGTATTATTTGCATTACTTTGTATTATTTGTATCATTTATATTATTCGTATTACTTCGTATTATTACCGTAATTGACGACACAGGTTGTGTTCGTGCCGCTGTCGGCGCGGGGGAAGTTCTACGCCACGGCGGCGCGGGCAGCGGCCCAGCAGACGCTGGACCAGGTCTACCTCATGGCCCAGCTGCTGGACGGCTTCCAGCTGCCCCTTACTGTCAGACTTGTGTGTGGATACATGGATAAAGTGCCCAGCTCCTTCACTGGTGAGTGGATAAAGTGCTTCACTAGTGAGGGGATAAAGTGCCCAGCTCCTTCACTGGTGAGTGGATAAAGTGCCCAGCTCTTTCACTGGTGAGTGGATAAAGTGCCCAGCTCCTTCACTGGTGAGTGGATAAAGTGCCCAGCTCCTTCACTGGTGAGTGGATAAAGTGCCCAGCTCCTTGACAATTACTGGACAGAGTGGCCATAAAAGTCAGTGTTCACAAGCGTGTAGTTTTATCCAATGAGAATGAAGGCCTTCAGGGTTATAATAGAATAGAATAGAATTGAATAGAATAGAAGTGTCGGCACTGAAGAAATAGGCCCATAGACATTATTGCCAGCTATTAAGGTTAAGTAAAGACTGAAGACAAAACTCATGCGTGTTCAACACATCACTCAACTGTTGAATACAAAACTAATTCATATTTATCTCCTCCAGGTTTGCTGAAGTTGGAGAGCGCCCAAAAGGAGCACGTGCTCCTTGGCTGCACCATGACTCCAGACACAAACGCCACCTTCCTGGAGATGGACTTGGACTCCAACTTCGTACTCACGCCAATCAAGGACCCAGTCTTCCCCAAGTCCCCACTTTACCTCAAGACCAAGTCCTACTGCGAGGACCAGGCCGAGGCCTGGCAGAGGCAAATCAAGGTGAGGTTCTCAACGTCCTGCTTGAGTCCTAATTTTATATATTATATTATATTATATTATATTATATTATATTATATTATATTATATTATATTATATTATATACATTATTATATTATATAATATTATATTATATTATATACATTTTATGTTCTAAATGTATCATGCGGAATAAATTTCCGTTCTATCACTCGCAGCGTTACTCTTGCAATTATATTACCACGGCGAAACTTTGCGTTTGTTTTTTACTTTGATTCTGATATTTTCCATCCATTGATCAATATTCAATTGGAGCGATCAATGCATAGTTCCGCTGTTCAAATCTTTACTTCAGCAGTCAAGTTTTTCGACATAAAATCAAATTCATTTCCAGACCTAAGGGCGGAACACATGTTCATTTAGGCTAGCACAACCTCTGGTTTGAAAAATTTTTAAAGAAAATTCTATTATTAAAATGTTTAAAATAATTTCTTCAATCGGTCTATCGACTTTCCAGATCACTCATCACGTGACGGACACTCGACCTGTCCTCCCACTGCGGACATCTACCTCCGCCACGCTGTCGGACACTGCGTCCTCCACTGGTCCGTTTTTTCAATCCGATGCGGACGGCGGCCCCAAACTGCGCCACGTGCGCGGTGGCGTCCGGGAATTGAAAGCCCAGGACCGAAGTCGGGAATCCCGAAGAAGCAACGATGACAACAAGAAACTCGACAGGATACCTCGGGACAAAAGCAGGGATGAAAGGTCCAGGGATAAAAGTAGGGATAGTCGAATACGATTGCGGATTCGCGAGAAAAGTCGCGACCGACTAACTATCCGCAACGGCGGAGACGCGACGACTTTTGACATTCTGAGAGAAAAATCGAGCGTTCAGGAGGCTGTACCTGACAAGCTTGGAAAATCTGGTAAGGGTGACGGGAGAGAACCGAGGAAACTTTCAAAGCAGAATACTTATATTTTTCAAAATGGACGCAACGCAAAATATCAAGAACAGCAGAAGCACGACGATGATATTCCGCCGCCCGTGCCTGAACATTCGCTGAGCTACCGTCTTCGTCAGAGCGTCGACAGTCAGGACTATTCGACGGTGCTGGACGATTTGAGTCGCCTTCGTCTCAAGAAAGACGAAGAGGACGAAGAGTGCCTCTACGCCGAAATTTGCGATAATATTTACTCGACAACCGTGGTTTCATCATCGTCGGATCAGGACTCAAGATCATCGTCGTTCAATCGGCCGTCAAATCGCACGCCGGGTCACAATTGGTCGTTCGGGACTGGTTCATCAGATGATAATCACTACAGCTTCACTTTGCTACGACAAGATGTCGGCCGTTCCTACTTCGGCTTCACCTCGCGAGACGGCACCTCTAATGGTGACGGCAGCGTTACGAGTCGTGAAGGAGTCTCCTCAAACCGAGATGGAGTGACTCCTCTCCGAAGAGTCACCCCTCTCCGAGATGGAGTCACCCCTCTCCGAGAGGGAGTCACCCCTCTCCGAGATGGAGTGACCCCTCTCCGCGATGGAGTCACCCCTCTCCGCGATGGAGTCACCCCTCTCCGCGATGGAGTCACCCCTCTCCGAGATGGGGTCACCCCTCTCCGCGATGGAGTCACCCCTCTTCGAGATGGAGTCACCCCTCTCCGAGATGGAGTCACCATGAATTCTAAAAGTAACCTTCTGAATCAGGAAGAAATTATCCCGAATTTCCGCGTCTCGCGGCTCCGCAGCAATGGACACAACTGGGGAGAAATCGTTCTCCCTAGTCGAGAAGAAATCATCCCAACTTCTGTTAATTCCCGACTACGAAACTTCGGGTTTTCGGCGGCCGACATCGTGCCGTCCCGACGCTTTATCTCGTCGGCGCGCCACGCCTACCGACCGCCCAGCCCGACAGCGTCTCCCTGCTGAGGGCACTTCCGTGTCCCATAATTTTTACAATTTTCCATAGAATATTTGGGTTCGAAAATCTTGCAATTGCTTTTAGCTCTTTGGGTCTAATATATGAATTTTTCACACTTAAGACCTGTTTTAGTGTGAAATTCTAACTCGTCGAGGATGCTTGAGGATGCATTTGTTCGATTTCAAAATATTTTTCGCGATCATCTGCAAGATTTGACGTCGGTGTCAAGGTTCTGCTCAGAGTGGGGAACTGCGGTGTAAAACCAATGCCCAGCTCTTAGATTTAAAAGTTTCTACATCCGATCGTGTTAACTCTCATGCGATATCTGTAGCTTCACTTCCCCTCAGGGGGGACTTCTGACGGGTGTCTGTGCTCGTCAGAAGTCCTATGGGATTTCGCGCTCCTAGGGGGATTGTTCCTGAGCGCCCCACCGCTGAGCTCGCGGTGTCTGACTGTAGGTCTCAGTTGTGGTCTGAGACCTTCCGCCCCTTGTGGGTGATGAATAATTGAGACCTTCCACCTTTATGGTGATGTTCATCTTGACTTTCGGTGCGAGATAGCTTAATAGCTGAAGCGCTAGTAAACATTTGGACACTAAACTAACTGTAGCTTCACTTATTCAGGCAGCGGCAGTTTTTAGCCGGCCAATTAATGGCCAACGGCCGGCAGCGCTCATCGACTCTGGTCGACCGCTGGGCAGGGTGGCCTAGTGGTTAAAGTTCAGAGTATACCAGGATTGGCGCAGAGAGGTGCGGGTTCGATCCCATTTCTGTGCGACAGTTTCTGGTCAGAATCGGCGAGGAGGCCGGGCGGTTAAGCACAGCAAAATTGTAGCAATGAGTTGCGAGTTCGAGACCCGTAATAAGCTGTGAATGTTCTGCGATGTTATGAATCGGCGACAGGCCTACGGCCTAATAAACGCTGAAACCGCTATTATCTCTTTTCACTGGCTTCTCGTTGTGCTCCGTCTGACCACAAGAACTCTTTGGCGCTCACAGCTCAGAGTTCTTCATTTTCATTTCGATGTAATTTCTTTAATTTCGTCCTAATTAATTTATTCATTCCTTCAACAGCTCCTTCGTAGGAACTGTTAGATAAGGGATTTACACTCCCCATTACGGCATGTTCGGTTGTAACTTGTTGTTGATGATAGATATCAACAGCAAGGAGGCTGATCGAGAAATGCCCTATCGAAAAAAGTGTTGAAATCGCACAATTCGTGAACAGTGACGACGACGGAAAACTTTTCCGTCGATGGAAACTTCGAAAGATGGAAACTTTTCGCATTAATTTGTGGAAGTAGCAATTTAAATATTTTTTGTTAATGAGCACCGATTGCAAAAAAATTGCTGGATAAGGATGGCAAAATTTCCCATGTTATATATACTTTTTTACGAGTAGAGCTAGAGAGAATCACTTCGTGGAGGAATCCCAAGAGAGCCAGCCAAGTCTGCCCGATATCTCGTGGGGCAGTGAAGCGAGGCCTTAAGATTACTGTTGCTATGAGATTGAAGAAGATCGCAAAATTTGAATTTTATTTTACTAAAAAAAATGGGGAAAGTTTCTCAGTACTAAATGCAAATTTATCGGAAAAATGCGTTCAGTATTGAGTATTCAACTGCCAAATACTGGGGTTGTTTTTTTAAATCCGAATACGTTGTGATGAAATAATTGTTATCATGTGCTATAATATTCAGCAATATTACTTTAAAAAGTATGTATTTGTAACTTCGTATATGATTAACTGAAGATATATTAATTACTGGAAGTAAGATTACGAATTGCTCACCTAATTAAAGATGATTAAGTTATTGTTAATAATTTGTTGAGATTTGTACGACGAATTTTGCTCAGTTGTGTTAGAGTTGTTGGAGAGGCTCAACGTCCTGTCTGGTTATTGTATATACTTTATTTTAATTGCCATATACTAATAAGTGAGGTTAATAAGCATGTGGATTAATATTGTTTTTTTATATACATCCGCAATGATGACGCATTTGTTAACAAAAATTGGCACCGGAAGCTCGTCCTGAATCGTTATTGGCTGTTCACATATTTCAACTGATTGGCTCATTCTTCCAGTCCACTGATTGATTGAAAAATTCAGTCTACAGATTCACTGAATGGCTGATTAATCCAGTCTACAGGTTGGCTCATGTTTGCAGTCCCCTTATCCCTTATCCTTCAGTCCCAGTTATCTTTTTAATGATACAATATACACTAAAGTACAGATTTTCAAAAATTCTAGCGTTATTTTGCTACCAGATTGTATGTGTAGACTTGACTCCAGTGTAGAATCCAGTCTACAGGTTGGCTCGTGTTTTCAGTCCCCTTATCTATTAGTCCCAGTTATCTTTTTAATGATATATTATAAAAAAGTACAGATTTTCCAAATTCTACCGTTATTTCGGTCCCAGAGTGTGTAGACTTGACTCTTGTCTGTCGTTGTAACATATTTGTCACATGTTACTCATGTCTCTCATGTATGATTTTGTATAATATTCAGCTGGAAAATGTAACACGCTTCCCAGTTAGAACAGTTTGCCTCTGGTTGACTGTACATGAACAGTTAAAACATTTTTATATTTATTTGATTGTAAATGTGTTCACTGTGAATAACTGTGGCGATGTTAGCTCAACGATACAAGATTTAATTTCTGTTGCAGAATAATGAACCAAAATTTATTTAATGTATAACAAAATGAATAAACAATCTCGAATTGATGAATCAGGCTGCATTCATAATAATAATTTATTTTGTTATGAGGAAGAGGTCTTTAATTAATAACTAGCATGCCTTATGATGTGATGTGTGGCATGTTGCTGGTCTCATGCCACATGATGCTGTGGCATGCCACACGATGTTGTGGCATGTTGCTGGTCTGGCATGCCATACGATGTTGTGGCATGTTGCTGGTCTGGCATGCCACATGATGTTGTGGCATGTTGCTGGTCTAGCATGCCACACGATGTTAAGGCATGTTGCTGGTCTGGTGTGATGGCGGTCACTGCACGCACGCGTGATGGCGGTCACTGCACGCACGCGTGATGGCGGTCACTGCACGCATGTGTGATGGCGGTCACTGCACGCATGCGTGATGGCGGTCACTGCACGTATGCGTGATGGCGGTCACTGCACGCACGCGTGATGGCGGTCGCTGCACGCACGCGTGATGGTGGTCACTGCACGCACGCGTGATGGCGGTCACTGCACGCACGCGTGATGGCGGTCACTGCACGCATGCGTGATGTCAGCATACTTCAGTTCCACCGTATCATCACGATGACATTATTTCCATACAAAATTTTTAGATGTATCGAATCACATTGTATCAAAAGAGGTAATATTTTAAAAATTAGTGAAGACAAAAGTGCAGGTTCTCAAATAGGCTGATACGTATAAATTGTACAAAAAGCTGTGAAAATTCGGAATTGAAACTTTTTTTATGCGGTAAATCATTGCGATCTTGCAGAAATCGCATTTTTGTCTTTCAATGGCAGTTAAGAAAGTGCAGGTTCTCAAATTGGATAACACGTTTAAATTGTAGAAAAAACTGTGAAAATTCGGAATTGAAACTTTTTCTGCATAGTAAATTATTGCGATCTTACAGCAATCGCATTTTTGTCTTAAAATGGCAGTTAAGGAACGAAGCCTAGAATTCCCACTGAATCGAAATCATTTAAAGTTTATCAAAAGAGTGAGTGGCTTTCGAAGGGTATCATTAAAATAATAACTATCGAAAAGTGTTATCGTAAAAACGGCTATTGCATGCTTACAAAAAAGTACCCATCGCAAGGTATTATCGTACGGCTGAAACGTAATACCAATATATTTTTGGTCTACGATGATGTAAATTACCATATGAATGCTCAGTTATTCTACTATGTCTTAATCGTAACATTTATTATGAAAATAAGGATCTGTAACCTGAACATAATTCAAGATGAAGAAAAAGGCAAGCTCCAGTTAAATGAACAATCCAGAGCAAGCTAGACCTTAACTTAAATAATAATATATTCTCTTTGACTTATTATGGTGGCTATGGACTTTCATCTGTTTGAAGGGCCTTAGTTGGAATTTCTGATTCATCACTGCTAAGACATCCAGAATCCGAAGATAAGGATGACACTTTTCGATGATGAGTTGAGTAACTAGAGCCACTTTGGTCGTAGCTATCTGAACTACCATCCAAGTTCCTAGATGAAGCATCTGTTTTGGTCCCCGTGGGCGGAGTGGGGTCAGTAATAGGTATGTTAGGTCGCTCGGTAAGCATATTCGACGGCGTTTTGTATAGCTCATCTTCTTCTATTTTGAGGCCGTCGAGACTGAAAGGTGAATTGTAGAAAGATTTCAAACTGTCTCTTGGTAAGTCTGCCGAAACTCTTGAAGGATGGTTCGATGGTAGGAATGGCACTCCAGGAAGATGGTTGTTTTGAATTTGACTTGTAGGAGAACGAGGAGAAAGAGAAATGTAGGAAAACGAAGTAACAGTTCTGTTATCATCACTAGGCGAAGGCGTGTTTGCATACAACGCAGCTGAACATAGCGAAGGTGTCGGGGTCACGTTTTCATACACAGAGGAAGAAGGTTCTTCGGGTTGAGTCACGTTTTGATAAAGTGGAGCCAGCGAAAGGTCAGTCCGTTCTTCCAGATAGCAGAAGCTGGAATTAGTTTGCAAACTTCTAGGAAGAGTTCTACTCATGCGATTGTTTGTAGGTGGAAAGTCCTTACTTAAGGCCTCGGCCAGCAAGAACGGATGTTCGAGGTCTAGTGGCTCAACGGATTTCAAAGAAGACCGACATTTACCAGTCAAAGAAGTCTCAAATTTCATTAATTTATCTGCAGCTGTGGCCTTCTGAGCCGGTGGGTCCACATTTTCGTATTGGTTTTCATTTGAGCATTGAGGACTAGAATCAAAACCATCCGAAGTCTTCAGCAAGTCTACATTAAGTTCTGCACTGAACTTTTTAATGTCAACTACATATTCTGCATCTGAATTTATGGCGAGTGGCATGTTTTGATAAACAAGCCTTCTGGGAGAATTAGGGAAAGATTCGTTAGCTTCAGAGTCATATGAGTCTTCTTCCAAAATTGGTTCCATTATTGAAATCTCGTACTTGCTGGTCAGGGTAGTCAGTGAAAATATCTTTTCCTCGCCATCTTCCTTGTCATCTTCAATATCTTGTGGACAGGTAAAATCATACGATTCTGTGGCATTATCTGGATTGGTATCATCGTATGTATCTTCATTATCTGAATTCAGCTCTTCGTGAATCTCTTCACGAGAGTCTTGCGAAAGACCCTCGTACTTTTTAACAATGCGTGGAGATTCACATTCTTCGTCTGCTAGAGAATCTGCATCAAAAGAGTCTTCTTGATCTTCCACTTCATCGGAAGCGTTACCTGAATCTAAAGACTTTTGGTCCATTTCAGAAGTGGGCGTGTTGGCGAAATGATTTTCTTCGGTATTAATGCGAAGTTCGTTATTTGGTAGCAATGTTCCTATGGACTTGTAAGGCTCCTCAGCTTTTCCGTACATTTCTTCCACGATATCACTGCTTAACTTGGCGATTGTCAAATTTTCTGGCCTGTTAATGATAGAGATGGATACGCAAGACTCGTTTAAATACGAAATTTCGTTACAAGTCTCCTCGGATCTTACATGTTCACTATGAGTACAAAAATCTTCATTATCGTCTAACAATATATTTATGCTAGAAACTGAAGAACACTTCTTCAAATTAGGTTTCATGTCGTCATTAGATTTTTCCATCTCGGTATCGAATGAGGTATCTCGACTGACGCTGGAATCGTCACATACTTTGATTAGAATCGTGTTTCCTCGCATCTGAATTTCGTAATCTTCTTCTTCATCTGCATTACACAAATCAGCGATGCTGCACGCAGAGGTTAAACCAAGACTCGGTTTAGCAACGGGGCGAAATGTGCGAGTTGAGTTTCCTGAAGGTTCGAACGGCGCTTCGGTGATGGAAATGCTAGTTCTTCCTGGACGACTCTCATCTTCAACCATTGTGATGGTTGTGTTCAGGGATGGGGACAAATCTGTTTCGGCTTCTTCATCGGCGATTGAGTCATCAATGGGCTCATTTGACGTTAGAATGGCGCTATCTTCGATATCATGAAATATTACTTTTTTCAAATCTTCATTCAGCGGTCTTTCTCTGGGTGAAGATGAGTCTCCGATCAATTCATCATCAGAGTCCTGATTGCTGTCGTTTGTCGATGAATTGTGCTTCGAATTTTCCACTGCCTCTTCGAGAGTTTCATAGATGTTGATTGATCTTTGCCTCGTGAAATATTTCTCTCGTACTGCTCCTTTTTGGTCAACGAAAGTTTGTATTTTGCTCTCATTTGGTAAAGCCGAGACATTCTCCAAGCTATCGGACCAATCTCCTTTTATCGACACCGAATCTTCAGCGCCGGCTTCTTTCAATTCCTGCTTTTGGAAGTCGTCAAATGCATTAGCTTTATTCATATTTTGGATATAAGAATCACGATTTTTATCGATATCTTGTTCACTATCGTCGTCATCTTCGTTCAGTGTGATAGTTGCGTAGTGATCGTCCTCAGATTCAGCAACAGATTTGGGAGAATCAAAACGGTTACGAGAATGAACCTCGGCTTTGATAGCAACATCCTGAGAAACAGTTCCCTTAAAATTTAAAAACATTCTATTTTTTCGTGTCATTTTAGTTTCACTGGAGTATCCGTTGCTGCTGTTGCCATTGGAAGAGGAAGCAGAATCTCTTTCTTCGTCGCTGAAATCCAGATCCATTTTGTTGCTCATCAAATCCTCTATTTCAGAGTAAAGGTTCTCTGTGTCTTCGTCAAGACCATCGTCGTCCATGTCTGAGTCTTCAAGACCTAGACTGGTAGGAGCCGGACTGGAATTATCAGAAACTCTGCAGTATTCAATTCCGTCTTTCGAGGTTTTAATAAACTTGTAAGTTGTTAGACTTGGTTGAGAGTCATCAGGCGGAGTCACCAGAAGTTCACATGGTGTTGGAAGAGGTCGACTCCCGATTTTCTTTCCTCTCCTCAGAGAATTCAAACTGTGTTTCAAATTGATAATGGTTGTTGTTGTTTTTGTGCTCGTATCTGGAAGAGGCCTATTTTTCCTATTAATTTCCTGGACGAACGTGTTCTGTTTCGACAAAGATCTTTGCTTCTCGAAAAGTTTGGTGTTCGGGCACACGATCTGCTCGAACGAATGGCCCAGTCCATTGTTATCCCTGTATTTCTCTGAGATACTTTCTCGCTTCCTGGATTCTTTCATCTTGTTTATTTTGCTTGCCAGTCTACCAATGCTGGTGTCGGTGACGCTCTGGGTGAACATGGACCTACGTGGCTTGACGCGGTCCAGGGTGGAAAATGCCGACATGGATCTGCATGCCGGAACGTCCACGAATTTGTCGCTGAACGAACGTGTTAACGAACGCGATCGTTGATCCGTGACATGGTGGGTGACCTGATGGACACACGAATACGAAAATAGAAATTAATTCCAATGTTTTACTAGTTAGATGTTATTTTAGAATGAATTTGCACACTTACTGGTACGTTCCTGTCCGATATGAAAATTATTAAGTGTCAAGCGTTCATTAAGTATCTATTATTGATAACGCTGCTTTGTAAGATGATTACAAATTTATTGTTTATCTCAAGTTAATGAAGGCATGCATAATTTCTAATCGGAATTCATACATTAAAGTCCCTGCGCGTAAAAATCTTCTATTAACATCCAATCGTAAATTTCAATGTCAAACTTAATACCAATAGTCAACGTATTCGTAACCAGTCATTATTCATAAAAATTACATTTCCTAATGAAGATACATTGACATTCAAGACATTCAATATGCGTATATCCTCATAAAAATCATTATATTGAATATGGCATTCCCTTCCTCTTAAATTTCCCTGTAGAGTTACATGCAACTTTACTTCCTCACTTTAATTTGTCGTTGCCAGTCCGTAGCTTCGTCCTCGCAGTAGGATAAAGTCTTGAGGTAAATCGGGGACTTGGGGAAGAGGGGGTCGAGGATTGGGGAGAGCAGGAAGCTCGAGGACAAGTCCATTTCCATGAGGGTTGCCTCTGCCTGTGACGTCATCGTGCAGGCTACCACCACAGACTCCTTCTGACACCGCAGCAGCCGTAGGATGCCTGCGCAGTGATGGTAGGATTATAGGATATGTCTATGATCGACAAATTATTTTTTTTCGTCGATGAATGAATTTTAATACGGCGTTGATGAATGGATAATTATGCAGTGATGTTAGATTAAAATACGTCGGGGATCAACGAGTGATTATGCATGCAGTGATTGGTATTTTTTTACCTTATGACTCGATAGATAATTGTCAAATAATGTTAGAACTATAATATAATACGACATTAACAAACGGGTATGTAAGCAGTACAAAAGAAAAATAACACGTCATTTTTAACTATTTATTAAGAAGTAATATTAACAAAAATGAAAATTTAATGACGAAATGTCATTCAAAATGTTAACAAAAATAATTGTCAGAATCAATGGGTAGCTGTTGGCTTTGAATACTCTCAATGGTATGCGATAATTTAGTTAATTAATAAGAAGGCAGATCTTGAACAAGATTTTAAGCGAGATATTATTAACACTCCGATAAATCGGAATGAAGTTGTTCCCTTCATTGGAATATCGTTTAATAAAACCAAACTTTGTCATGGACAAGTAAACACAGTAGAAATATCTACGGCAATGCTAAGCCATATTCAAGTTGACATGATGTCCTTATGAAGGCTTGCATATAATTACTTGAAAAACCTTCTGCGTCTCTCATGTGGCGGCATGTGCTAAAAAGTTTTTTTGTTTTTAATTCATGCAGACGATATCAACGACACGTAAAATAACTCCATTTAAAATTTTCTCTGCACAATTGATATTGGGTGAAATATCGAACATATGGACGCAAAAAAATACAAAAGCTTTCCGACTTCAAAACAAATCAGTAAAAAATATTTCTAAGAACAGATGTGAACGCCGTAGTTTTACAGCTCTCTAGAAGCTGGTCGAGTAATAATAATGATTTTGTTATATATTTTGAAAAGGGAACAGGATACCATGATTGAGGTAAGGAAACATGAGAACCATCTACCCGGTCCGTGGCGACCGTTTTTAATTTATCACCAAACCAATTTACCCTTGATGCACCGAACCAATTTACCCTTGATGCACCAAACCAATTTACCCTTGATGCGCCATCTCAATTTACCCGGAGTCACCAAACTAAAAACTAAAATCCCACCCAATTTACCCCCGGACTCACTAACCAAATTTTTCCCGGATTCACCACCCAGTTTACCCCAGATACACCAGCCCAATTTACCCCTGATTCACCAACCCAATTTACCCCAGATTCACCACCCAATTTACCCCGCATTCACCACCCCAATTTACCCTGGATTCACCAACCAAATTTACCCCAGATTCACCACCCAATTTACCCCTGATTCACCAACCCACTTTACCCCAGATTCATCACCTAATTTACCCCGGATTTACCAAATAATTTCCCCCGGATTTACCACCCAATTTACCCGGGATTCACCAACTAAATTTACCCCGGATTCACCTCCCAATTTACCCGGGATTCACCACCCAATTTACCCCGGATTCACCAACCACTTTACCCCGGATTTACCAACCATTTTACCACGCATTCACCACCCCAATTTACCCCAGATTCACCTACCCTATTTAACCCTGATTCACCACCCCATTTTACTCCGGTTTCACCACCCAATTTACCCCGGATTCACCATCCCAGTTTACCCCAGATTCACCACCAATTTACCCCGGATCCACCACCCAATTTATCCCGGACTCACCAACCCAATTTACCCCTGATTCACCACCAACTTTCCATTCACCAACCAATTTACCCCGGATTCACCACCCCAATTTACCCCAGATTCACCAACCCAATTTACCCCGGATTCACCACCCCAATTTACCCCGGATTCACCACCCAATTTACCCCGGATTCACCACCCAATTTACCCCAGATTCACCACCCCAATTTACCCCGGATTCACCACCCAATTTACCCCAAGATTCACCACCCAATTTACCCCAGATTATTTACCCCGGATTCACCACCCAATTTACCCCAGACTCACCACCCAATTTACCCCTGATTCACCACCCACTTTACCCTGGATTTACCACCCAATTTACCCCCAGACTCACCGGTAAAGGCACATGGAGTGCGTGGCATATACCCACACACCAGTTTTACCGTCAGGGGTAACTGGAAAGCTCGCAGAAGGTGGGTCAAAAGGTAAACTTTATCCGTGTCACGAGTGTTCTTGTCAGCAGTGTGGTAAAATTTACCCACTGCGTTCACTGACACCAGCGCCATCTGGGGTAAGTGGTAAATTACCAGGTGATAAATGCAACGATTACCGCCCCGATATAAAGTCATTTAATTCGGTAATAAATTTTGCTCAATTAACAAGAGGTAAAAAGCTTGAAAGAGAAAGAAAAATTCGGTAATTAATAAAGTAGAAAATTAATATTGAGGATTAAAATAGCTTGAAAAATTAATAATTAAAATTTAAGTTTATAAATGGCTTAGTAGGAAACGGATATCACGCATAGACTGACAAAAGAATCAAAGTAATATCTTGAAAATAGAAATGAATCGAAAATATTATTATATATTTTTTTATTAAAAACTATTATTTATTTCAATTTAAATTTGAAGTTGTCAAAAGCCGTAATTAAGAAATTTTTTCTTTTTCATTAAACAAATTGAATGAATATCAATTATTTAAACATTTCGTATCGAAAAGAAAGCGTTCGTGGGTGATTACTAGCTCATCTGAGAATAAAATCAAGGAACACTAGTATAGAACTAAAATGTTTGAATCAATTTACCACATATTAACTTGTCCGAATAAGAGAAAGAGTGGCTTTAAAATTGAATGACTATTTTAATCACGATAGCAAGTATCCTGAAAATTATATATTATAATCACGATAGAAAATATCCTAACAATTTTGTAAAAACTGCAGTCGAGGGTGACGCCAGCAGCAGACGAATGCCAAAACTATGACTTTCTGGTCGTTTCATCATGAGAAGATCGTCAATAAAATGAAGAGAATTGCACTCGCAAAACCACGAGTCTTGTGACAATCTATATAAGCACTTATTACCTTATAGACGTTAAACATTGCAGAACATAAAGAATTTATACCTTACAGGCCCTATACAGACGAAATTATACATTACAGGCCCTACAGAAGTTTTACAATACAGGCCCTACAGAAGTTTTACAATACAGGCCCTACAGAAGTTATACATTACAGGCCCTACAGAAGTTATACANGGTGCTGGTAGTTAAGACAAAGTAGTTTACTAGTATGTACAAGCAAGCTACCTGGTGCTGGTAGTTAAGACAAAGTAGTTTACTAGTATGTACAAGCAGGCTACCTGGTGCTGGTAGTTAAGACAAAGTAGTTTACTAGTATGTACAAGCAAGCTACCTGGTGCTGGTAGTTAAGACAAAGTAGTTTACTAGTATGTACAAGCAAGCTACCTGGTGCTGGTAGTTAAGATCAACTAGTTTACTAGTATGTACAAGCAAGGTACCTGGTGCTGGTAGTTAAGACAAAGTAGTTTACTAGTATGTACAGGCAGGCTACCTGGTGCTGGTAGTTGAGACACTGCGCGAACTGCTCGCGCTGGTAGGAGACCACAGCTACCAGCTGCAGTACCTCCCCTCCCTGCACGGTGCCTTGGTGGTACTTAGCAGTACCTGAGGTATAGTAGGTAAACTTGGTTACTTACTTAGGTAAGTAGTTTGGTTACTTGCTTAGGTAAGTAATTTGGTTACTTGCTAAGTTAAGTAACTTGGTTACTTACTTCAGTAAGTAATTCGGTTATTTATTTAGGTAAATAATCTGGTTACTTACTTAGGTATAATTAACTTGGTTACCTACTTCGGTGAGTATGAGCTACACTCACTGCGCTGCCATCAGATAGACTAATAATATACGAGTATAGTAGATAATATAATAATATTTAAATTAATATATAATAGATTGATATAATTGAAGCATACATTAATTCGCATGTACGAAATTATATACAAATAATAGTTTGTTGACAAGAAAACTAACGGAAAAAATAAAAAATCCACTCAGAAGAAGAGAAATGAATATTTTTACTTTACAACTTCGCAAAAAAATTAAAATTCACACTCTCAAAAAGATATGAATTTTGCATTACTCAAAATTTCACGGGAAGCCCCACACACTCCCCCCCCCCCGACCTTCTCTAGTGGCGATGTAGGCTGGCAGGTCGTAGCGGGTGAGGAAGGCTGCAGGCCGCGTGCTGATGACCTCAGCGATGCTGGTGTAGGCCGTGGCGCTGCCTCCGCTGGCCTGCACCACACTGAACCAGCCTGCACCGCGATGAAGGTGATATCTTATTTCATGCGTGTATAATATACATTTGTTTATACGAAGCGGCGAGAAAATTAATGCAGTATAGGAAATCAAGAATTAAGATGAAAAGAATGAACTTAGTTAACGTAATTAAGGATTATGAACTAACATAAGAAGAATTAACTTAATTAAAGTAATTAAGGATGATGAATTAATGTAAGATGAATTAACGTAATTAAGGATGAAGAATTAACATAAGAAGAATAACAATAATTAACGTGGATCGAGAATTAACGTAAGAAGAAATAACTTACATAATTAGGGATCATGAACTAACATACGAAGAATTACCATAATTAATGTGGATCGAGAATTAAAATAAGAAGAATAAACTTAATTGACGTAATTAAGGATCATGAATTAACACAGGCCCCCAACTCTAGGGTGACACATCACCTACTCAACTATAGTACATTTAGTCACTTATCCATCTAGGGATACTAGACACTTACCCGTGTAGGTCTCCTACCCTACTGAAGAGAAATTTAGTCACTTATCCAGCTAGGGATACGAGACACGTACCCGTGTAGGACTCAGGCACGACCAGCGGCTGCCCCACGCTCATGTATGTGCCATCGGTGGCCACCCGCAGCGACTCCGCCCGTACCTGTGGGGAAGGGGGGGGGGGAGAGGTTTAAAATTAAAAATAAGTTGTTGATTTTGAAAAAAAATCACCGCGGCAAAAAATATTGAGTAAATAAATCAATTCTAGTTATGTTAAGAAATATGTCAGAAGAGGAAACAGGAATTAGAGATAAATTATTGATTTTGAAAAAATTTACCGCGGCAAAAAAATATTGAGTAAAAAATCCATTCTAGTTATGTTAAGAAATAAATGAGAAGAGGAAACAGGAATTAAGAGTTATTATTGATTTTGAAAACATTTACCGCGGCAAAATATTGAGTAAAAATATCACTTCTAGTTATGTTAAAAAAGAAATGAGAAGGGAACCACGACCTGAATTTCTGGAGTTGTGATGCACTTACAATTTGAAATGTGATTCTACGGGGCAATAATAAATATATGGTGCAAAGATAAATCATGATTGGTTATCGGGAAATGGACATCAGGAATGGGACCCAAAAATTACGATTGTGAATTGGAATTTGAATCATAAATACAGATTCTGATTCAGAAAGTGAGAAATTGGGATAAGAATCTAAAAATCACAATTGGCAATTAGGTTACTGATTCAGGTTTATGAATCAGTAGGAAAGGTCGGTTATAAAAAAATTAATATTACGAATCATATATCAGTACGAAGAGTCTTAAATACGAATTATGAATTATGAATTACAAATTAAATAATTATTACTATATTACTATTAAATATTAATTATATTATGAATTATTACTTGAATTATGATTTAAATGTATGAAGCTATAGCCAGGGAAGCCCCCGTACCTTGGGGGTGTGGGAGGTGCGGTAGAGCAGGAGGGGGCGGCGGGGGTCAACCCCAGAGGGGGTGGGGGTGGGTGCGTGTAGACGTACGGCCAAGGGGAGGCTGTAGCGTTGGAGCAGCGCCTTGGGGGTGTACGGCTGGCTGGAGGGGGATTTGTGGGGGAGAGTGGAGCTGGAGGGGGACTTGTGGGCTAGAGTGGAGCTAGAGGGGGACTTGAGGGGGTGTGTGGAGTTAGAGTGGGATTTAGGTGGGAAAGATGAATGGGATTTAGGATTAAACGTTGAGTTTGAGTGGGATTTTATGGGTGTCGAAGTGGGTGTCATGCTGAGGATGTGGGGCGTTGGGGAGACGAGGCCTCCCGACGAACGTGACGTCCCGCCTGACATCTGGGGAAGAAATATTTGCCATTAATGATTTGATGTTTTGTGCACTCATATATCGCTCTTATACAATAAATATTTGTGATGTAAATGTTAATGATATAAATATAAATAATGATAATGTTGATATAAATATTTTTGAATAAATGGCGCTGGCCGGTCCAGCAGAATTGCACTCGTATTCAATAATTGTAAACAAATATGTCATCATCAGACGAAAAAATGTCAAAATTGACAGGATTGTAATAAAATTGTGTGGAGAAAAATGTGTTCTTTTTTTTTCTCCACATAAAATAATATTTTATGTGACAAATAATAATTTGTCACATGAAATTATTGACAAATAATATTATTTGTATTGTAAAATTAAATTTGTAGAATGCAATATCCCGATGAATTAAGCCTGTTATCAGCAGGATTTAGAATTTTAAACATCATTAACTCAACGAAGAAAGTTCAAGCGAACGCACGTGCAGGATTTAAATTCACACACGAATGTCAACGACCGATATTCGTATCTGAGCGACGCGCGTGCGTGGACGGGTTTGTGAACGTGCTTACGAATGCTGGAACTTGCGTGAGGCACTTAACTAGAGCTAATGTGGTCAAGGTGAATTATTAAGCTAGGGCTATACTGTTTTGAGAATACAATGCCTAATCAAGCATTTAAATTATTTAAATAATTAAATGCATTTAAACATTATTTTCATTCAGATGATTCAAAATTTTGTAATAAAATTGATGCGTTAAAATTGTTTTTTAAGTTTTATGATTTAAACACACGTGATGCAATTGTTTGTTTTATGTTTTATGAGTTAAGTTTAATTTGTTGTTTTATTGTTTTTATTATCACATTATTATTATTGTTTTTATTATTACAATTGTTTATGTTTTATGATTTAAACACACGTGATGCAATTGTTTGTTTTATGTTTTATGAGTTAAGTTTAATTTGTTGTTTTATTGTTTTTATTATCACATTATTATTATTGTTTTTATTATTACAATTGTTTATGTTTTATGATTTAAACACACGTGACGCTATCCCCGCATTGGTCGCTGTCCCGTATAAATACAAATAATATCCTTCATTTTATTAGATCAGAAGCAGGGAATTGACGCGCGAACGAAAATGTATTCACATCCTGCAGAGAGTCGTAAATTTTGATATTTAAATACAAAATTTGTATAAAATATGCAGTCACGAAATTACATTACTTTGAGCAATTTTGTTGTGAAGCAAATCAGTGAATGCATTTGACTGTTGACAAAGCTCGAATTTTTCCCATATGAGAAATATTCGGCATTTTAACGTTTAAATTTATTTTTATATAAATATTTGTCAAACCTTGTTTATTGTAAGCATTTTGCCGCAATATATAGGGTCTGTTGGGGCGCGTATCCAGGATACCTATGGCACCGCAATATATAGGGGCTGTTGGGGCGCGTATCCAGGATACTTATGGCGCCGCAATATATAGGGGCTGTTGGGGCGCGTATCCAGCTGTTGGGTGTTCACGAAGATAATTCAAAGATAAAAAATACTTCTTCACATTCTGAAACAAAATTCGAATGTGTGTTTCAGGATCCATATAAAATGTTGGTGGTTCACGTTCCAATTTGAATGTTGGTTCGAACAGGTTTTTCTATTTAAGCAAACATTAATCTTATTTCCGATAACGGAATCCAGTATAAGAGGGATCTCAATCCGGACAAAAAAGGAAATCTTTAACTGATCCATTCGACTGGATGACTCGCGACGTAATCGAAAAACCCACAACGCGCGCTTCGTTTCCTTCCCGTCCGTAAAAAGCGAAAGTTACTCGCGCCTTCCGCGACCTCGCAGACCGGCGACCGCGACGCTCTGTTGCGTCGTGGCGACGAACATGGAAACGTCGCTACCAGGGACGTTAGACCGAGACGCGCTGTTGCGTTGTGGCGACAAACATGGAAACGCGTCGCTAAATGAACATGGAAACGTCGCAACCAGGGACGGTAACTGCCATTAACGAAGAAGCAAAATACAGGAGCTAAACGAAAATGATTTAGAATAGGGTACAAACTGTGGCCGTAAGAATTGCTTGACTTAGAAGCCAAGAAAGCGATAACATTACAAACAAATACAAAATATAACTCAGTACCCACTGCAGTGAGTGACAAAGAGCGCGTTTTCTCGTTGACGAAAAAGTGATTTCACGGACAGACAGACGGACGTTAACCGCCATTAACAAAGAAGCAAAATACAGGAGCAAAAAGAAAATTATTTAGAATAGAGTACAAACTGTGGCTGTAAGAATTGCTTGACTTAGAAGCCAAGAAAGCGATAACATTGCAAACAAATAAAAAAGACGGAGTGGAAAAATAAATTATTTTAATTTGACGTAATAACATTGAAGTTTTGCATATTCAAATACATAATGTGAGTAATTGTTGTAAATAATAAACTACACGAGATAACTTAGTTGAAGATTAACGCAGAAATTTAAACGTGGCCCTCAACACTAAGTTTTCGAGTGTAACGTAAATCTTATAACCGCTATTAACGTACGCTGTTTAAATATACTCTTTATGTAGGTTGTTTGAACACGATATTCAAACATGATGTTCAAATATGACGGTAACATACAAACATATTGGCTTCATTCCTCAATAAATATGTGAGTATCTCAACGTAAAAACTTAACTTTTGGATTATCGGCCATAATCCTAGGTTTCGTGTGTTGCCTTCAAGCCAGTAATTTACATCAAGATAATCCATATCGAGTTCATATCTATAGCCGTCATTAGAATGTCCATTCATTTCCTTCTATTTCCTCTAACACATTCATTCATTTCCTCTAACACATTCATGTGTGCTGAATGTTGATCGTTACTTGAACCAGGCAAGTCCGTAGAAAGTATAACAGTGCCCCCGGAAGTCGACGTTTATCGTGTCAGGAGGAGCGTCCACTTCAGGAATGGCTGAATTCCGGATGAAATAGCGACAAATTGCACACATATTGCGTAAAACACGTAACAGTATCAGACTTAGACTTTATCATGCCAACTGCATAACGTAGCAGGATAAAGCCAATTTTTATCTTATAAATAAAATATACCAACGAGTCGTCGGTATATTTTGAACAATACAATTTTCATCTTATTAATAAAATATACCGAAGAGTGGTCGGAATATTTTAAATAAAGATAATTTTTATCTTATCAACAAAATATACCAACGAGTGGTCAGTATATTTCAAATAAAGACAATGTTTATCTTATCAATAAAATATACCAAAGAGTGGTCGGTATATTTTAAATAAAGACAATTTTTATCTATCAATAAAATATACCAAAGAGTGGTCGGTATATTTAAAATGAAGACAATTTTTATCTTATCAATAAAATATAACAACGAGTGTCGGTATATTTTAAATAAAGAAAATTTTTATCTTATCAATAAAATATACCAACGAGTGGTCGCTATATTTTAAAAATTATTCGCGTGGGTCGCGTTGACTTTAGGATTTAGGATTTCCGTCAGCTTCTGAGTTACGATTTCGTCAAAAATTATTTGATCTCCAGGATTCGAATGGATTTGTGATGAGAAATCTATTTGATAACTATTAAGCAAGTCAAAAATATACTTGTAAATTGCATAAATCTATTGGAACCTCGACTGAAAGATAAAAAAAATTATTTCGTTAAGTTAGTGTTGTAAACAAACATTGGTTATTAATTAAATTATCGAGAACAAAATTGGTTGCTGTGCGCGAAAAGAAAATTAAAGATCCCGTAAAGTGAAGAACAGTTTTCGAACATTTTACTACGTAAAGTAACGAACAAAAGCTGATATTAACGAAGTTTTGAACGAAATTGCAACTAATTGCCAAGCACTGAAGTCTTGCAAGAAAATAAGCATAAGAAGTGAACAGAATTCTTGTTTGTTTATGATAAATGAGCGAAGAGTTGCGTGCGAGTGACGCAAGACGAGGCAGCCAGACACCGTCATCTGTCAACACTGGTGTCCTTAACTGTTACTTTGTAAGCGCTGTTACGAGTGACCGAGTGGCTGCTGTTGTTATTGTTGTTGCTGTTGCTGCTTTTGCCGCTGTTGCCGTTATTGCTGCTGTTGCCGCCGTTAATGACGCTGCTGCTGTTGTTGCCGTTAATGCCGCTGTTGTTGCTACACTCAGAAAAAAAAACTCAAAAACGCACAGTTCCTCAGGCGTCATCTGCCGGAGCCACAATGGGTAAACGTCATCGCCGCTGGACATCGGCAGCGATGTGAGAAAATTTACAAGGAAATATGTAAATATATTTAATATATATAATATATAAGTACTTCTATCATTTGTTAGCTTAAAGCGCAAGTACACCAAGAATTTAAAAGCAAAGATATCGCCAAGTAGATTCACTATTTAGTCATCGAAAACCTTTCGGAGAGCAGCTCCATCATCATTCACAAAATACATAGAATAAAAGTATCTAGAAAAAGAGAAAATCGAAACAATAAACGATAGATAAAAAACGATAAACGATAAACGACAAATTAAATTAACGAAAGATTAAAAGCCAAGAAGCGTGAAATCGAGACCGGAACCTAATTGAAAGATTTCTATGCGTATCCGGTTTCGTTATCGCGATGATGGAGCTGTTGTTCGATATGTTATAGGACGAAATTATTAATCTAATTGGCGTTATCTTTGCTTTTAAATTGTTAATTATGAAAATATTTAAACTTCATGCGAGTATCATGAAGTTCAACGTTAATCATGGAGAAATCTTCAACTAACCTCCCGACCGGTTACATGGAAGCCAATTTGTACCTCGGGTTGCCAATCAGTAATATAGATTTTTTCATCCCCCTTCTACGCTCAACTCTCTACATCTTTCAACCCCTTTCTGCCCTTCTACGCTTAACTATCTACCTCTTTAATTCAACCCCGTTCTGCCCTTCTACGCTCAACTATATACCTCTTTAATTCAACCCCTTTCTGCCCTTCTACGCTTAACTATCTAC